GAGCATAATAGTTATGATTGTATGATTATTAAGGAAAGTATTGCAAGTTGGCAATATTAATTATAGAAAACAAGAGTCATTCTTTGCAAAGTTGTAAGGATGGAATAGTTGTTTTGCTATAATTAAGGGAGAGAATATTATGCTTCATTTCAAATCTAAAGGATTAGGTTGAGAAATGTTGATAAATTTAGTCAAAGGTACATAGTATGTTTTTAAAATTTCGATTATGATTACGGCATTCCTCTTCACAATTTGAATTTTGAGAACATAGCAAATAAAACATTATGTGTCGTGTCCCATACGCTTCGGGTATAGGATCGATTGAAAATGCTTTAATGTTTGACCATTCTAAAATTTTCCAAATGTCTAGCGCATTTAGAGGGAAAAAGGGACTAGAATGGGGTTTTGACTAAAATAATTAAACAACTATCAAAGGACAATCCAAAGTTCGACGAGGATTGGTCGCTTGTGAGTAGTTGGAAGTATAGTATTGGAAAATATGGAAATGTTTCCATATTGGATGGACCATATCGACATCATTACAAATAGAAAAGATTCTATTAAGAATGAGTTGTCATGAGGAAAATATGGAAGCGTGTTCATATTAGGAAGTAAATATTGAAAATCTATGTCTAGATTAGAAACTTTTATGCAAAAGGATGTTCAAAGGAATGTACTTTGAGTGAGAGACATCATATCTAAGGAATTGTCTTGTAACAATCTACGTTAGAGGACTTTTTAATATCATTGGCAATAGTCTTTGAGACTTTGGTGCAGTGACATTACAAAAGGATCGTTGCATAAAGTGTTAGAATCTAGTATATTCTATAAGTAACAAGAATTTGATATTCTTACACTTAAGAAAATGGATTTGGAGTTGTAAAATGAGAATGATTGGAAATGTGTTCAATTTGTCTAATTTACACAAGTAAGAACCATAGGTAAACATTGTATGCATGCTAGGAGCACGGGACAAGTGTAATAATTCAAGTAAGAAGTTGATTACCCGAAACGACAAATAATGAGTAATCGATATGGTGATCAATAAAACGTGTTTTATTTATTCTCAAAGGGTTGAGGCCATATGGGATTAGTATTATTCTTGTGTTTCACTTTGCATGTTTTGACTTCCAGAATAATTGAGTTTATTAAGAATAATCGAATTATTCGAACGGGCCACAATCGTTCATATGTTGGGAGTAGATATGAATGAAGACTGTCGTGAATTGGTGTGTGGATTGTCTAAAGAGCATTAGACAAAAGCAAATGTTTGCTGCAACGTTCATGAGTGCTTATGAATATGAATTTGAGCATTGGATTAAAACCACGCTCACTTGGATCACTCCATGAATTGTATCACGAGTGATTGGTGAGACGATAACATCTTATATTCTTGAAACCGAGATGTGTGAGTTGTATCTTGCAAATCGGTTGCACATTGATAATATGTAAACGCACTAGTAGCTTGGTGTTATAAAACATATTGTTGTGTGTGAATTGGTTAGTGAGTGCAAGCAAGCATTGTATCAAAGTTTATCCATTCCTTTTATCCAAAGAAGGATAAAAGCGATATCTTTGGGCCCCTCGATGGTTTAGTGATGACAAACGTAAATGCTCGGCCGGGCTAGGGCTAATTTGATTTGTTCAATTAGTCTGTCGTCATAAATCGGAAATCGAGAAGTAGTACAAAGAGAATGATTTGAAATCATATCTCATACGATATCTAGAATGGAGGAATATATGATCCCTTATCTAAGGACACGCGTATTTGATAAGATCAAGGTTGACAGCGACTTTGGAAAGCTACGATTGCAGATCAGGATCTGAAGTCATACGCAGAATAGTTATTAGACTTATCCAAGTGGGAGACTGTTGGATTAGTGTCTAAGTCCATAACTATTTTGGTATGTACTTGACTCGATGGTGCATGGTTCTTTTGGGTTGCCTTCACCAAAGCAACTTGATTGGAGAAATAAATAAAGAGAGAGAGGTTATTATGATTTATTAATATGTTATAAGAATAATATATTAAAGGAGAAATCATATTTGCTTAATTAATATTGGTCAATAATTAATTAGGAATTAATTTTGTGATCAAGTGTAATTAATTAAACTAGAGGGGCTGAATTGTAATTATGTGATAGTTACAAAATATGGTAATGGTTATCCTAAATATGGGTTGAACGAATTCAAGGAGATAAGGATCCTTGAAATCGTCCAAAGGATAAAGGAAGGCTTATCTTATGGTTGCTTTGTGGATAAGCAACTAGATAAGGATAATGACTGCCCTATCTCTACACCTATATAAAGACCCTAAGGCCTTAGAATTCGTGTACTTGTTCCCAAGAAGTCCTAAGGACGAATTCTAACCTCTCTCCTCTCTATTTATACCTTCTCCATTTGCTCTTGGTGTTTGTAAGCCATTAGATGAGTGACACTTGTGACTCTAAGCATTCCAAAGTCAAATCAAGGCGATTTGGGATTGTTATTGCTACATAACAATCAAGGTAATATCTTAAACCTAATTATATGTTAATATTGATTTCCATATGCTAGAATTAGGGTTTATAGTCTTGGATTCAAAGTATGTACAATAGAGAAACCTAGATCCAAGCTTTAGGGTTTGTATGAGCACATAGGATGTATTGTGACCAAAACCCATCAAAACCAATGTACCCTCATTATATATTTGGTAGACTAAATGAATATAAGAATTTAGTTATATAGATTTACAATAAACATCACAGTAAGCATAAATTAAAATTGCAAGATTATTTATTTCTTATTATGGAATTCCATTTCATTTCCCCTTTGTTATTTTGCTAATACTTCCTAATTCTAGCTCATACAAATTGACTTTTGACTTTTCAGGGTTACTAAATGTTTTGCTTATACCATATGAGAAGCAAATGACAAGTGAAGTCTGCATTGCATTTATACAAGGGGTACTATTCTTATAAGTGGGAAACACAGTCCTTGCTGCCGGTAAGTTTCTCCGATGGTCGGGTTCACAGCAGTTTAGCTTTATAATTCTCATTGTCATTCAATTGGTACTGTCATTTGGATGGAAGGATGCAATTTAGGTTTTCTTCTGTTATTCATGCTGTGACACTTTCAATTTTTGTACAATTCAAATTTATTGAATGCTTTCAATGGATGACAAAAAAGGTCTATCAGGATACTACTTCAGATATCAAGGTTTACTTTACCAGTGTTTCCAGTAGTTTTGGAACAAGTGTTGATACAACTCTTGGTTATATTCAATTTCACATATTTCCAACCCACAACAGGTTACTTCTCTTTCACTTTTCATTTATAGATAATTGTTTTTCAATAGTTGCAGATGGATATGTCATCATTTCTGATGAATTGGTGCTCATAAAAGCAGGTTGTGCCAACTAATTTGCACCTTTCCCAAAATATAAATATAACCCATTTTCAAGATTTCATTTTTTAAAAGATTTAATGACTCCACATCAAGATTTGACATGTTTTGGGATGAAATTGCAGGGTGTATGTTGCATAGCAAGGGTGGTTTGATGAGTTTTATTCCACTGATGAAATCCGCTCCTCCGGGTCCTTTCGCCACCGGTTCAATACGAGAAGTCCGCTTCAACCTACGTCTCGAAGTTCGGTTTCTTTTCGGATGTCGTCACCAAAGTCCACAATGATATCATTTGCTTTTTTTTCCTTTTGATTTTGGGACTCTTTTCGCAGACAAACCATCTCTCATCTGTTGGGATTTTGATTTTTGGTATGTTGTTTGTACTTTACATATGATTTTCGATTTCTGTTGGATTGTTGTTTTGTTTTTCTTCTCACAGACAACCATTTGTAAACTTGATTTATTTGTAAAAAGGATTGTCTAATTTTTGTATGATAACAACTTGATGGTTTCCAATCGGAGATGGACGACAACGAAGGAAAGGCAGTCTCGCTCGAGGGTGTCTATCGTGAAGCAGGAAACACAAGTCAACGCAGATTGAGGGGAAATCGAATGTTGGATAAAACAATCTTTGTGTTCCTGGAGTGATCTACAAGCTTTGTGTGAAGAAGCTGCAATGATGCCAATAAGAGAACTTGGTTCAAACATTCTCACAGTCAAGGCTAATCAGGTAAAATTACCCATTTGCTCATTTTCAGAAGTGTTAAAATACACATTTTTACAACCAACATTTCATCTTTTTTTTCTAACTTATGCAGTAAAGTGTTCTTTTTTAATACAAAAGATGCATCATCATTTCAGTTTAGGACAAAAAGATGTATTTTATCGGTATCATGTCTAATCAATTAAAACATTGTTCCATAAAATCATTAAAAAAATGAAATATTGTTACATTAATAATTATTAATGATATGAAACATGGTTTGCATATTTGGTCTAAAAACCACTTTGTTGCATAAAATGAAAAAAAAAAGTGAAATGTTGCAATCAAGATCCTTTCCATTCTAGTAGAGGAGAGTGGAAGGAATTCGATTTCATTCTTCCTTTTTTTAAGAAAAGACCAAAATACCCTTGATATAGAATGGTAATTAATCTCCAATTATTTTTACTAGGTACGGTGATTAAAATATGGAGATTTCCACAAAGCTATGGCCGTGATCCGACCAAGTTATGTAAAAAGCAAGTGGGAAGAACTTGAGAATTGGAACAAAGAGTTTGGATCTAACTAACATACAAGCCATAATTAAACAACTATAAAAGGCAATCCTAAGGGTGGATAGTGAAGGCAAGATGTGCGGGCCTAATTTTAAAGAGGACACTTAATCTAAGGGTACTGAAAGTAATTGGACACAATGGGATGATCATTGTTGATTGCGAATCATGATCAATCATCAAGATTCCATTTTACATAAAAAAAAAAAAAAATTTGTCTCCGAGATCCTATTTTACTTCAACTTTTTGTTTGTTTCTAGAATGTAAGTATTTAATTTTGTGAAATAATTTGAATAATGTCAATTCAATTTTATTGACCTAAAAACGTTTTTTGTTTGTTGAAATGTTTGTTGCAGCTTCGATGGGGTATTGGAAGGTTGGTTTTCAGAATATATGTTATACAACCTCGGTGGTTCAGATAAAACTAATGTGTTTAAGGGGAGGCGTAGTCAATCACATTACAGGTTATCTTCTACTTATCGATTATTTTATAAAAGTATGTAAATAACTAAACAAGTGATTAATTATATGATTAAATAAATTACTTTTTTGCTTTCAGATATATGTTCCAACAAATCCTCAAGGAAGAATGAATATGTAAGTAAACACAAATCGTTTAATCGTCTTTTACACTTTCTCTTACTGTTTTCCATAGAGTTTGACAATTTTTTCGTTTTTCTATCCTACAGATTGTCAAATTATTCACCCCGCATTCTGTATTTGGTTCCCTAACTCCCCACGTTGCAAGGTTCTTGAGTTGTTCTCATTCTGTTCTTCAGGTATGATATAAAATTTATTACTTTGCATATAGATTTTGCTTTTTTAAAATCTAAAATTAATTACTATTTTCATCAACTCCACCAAAGGATTCCATTTGAAAATGTTGAAATTAATTTTGATTTCTTTTACTCTTTTTTTTTTTTAAAAACGATTGGGTATTTTAGTAATCTCCTCTTTTAAGTACAGAAGTTACATTGTCAAATTATATGATTGAACGAAAGCACCGTGATGACAACTACAAAATGTGATAGCTTCAGCATGAAACTACCTCCACTTTACAGTTTTTTTTTCATTTTATTATTATTTTTTTTAATATTTTTTCCCGATAAACTAGCAATGTACTTTCGGTTGCATGTTGTCACTTGAGGGATAAATTAGTCAAGTCCTAGAAAACAAGACCTGGGTATGTAAGCAAATAAGCAAAAAATCTATTTGTATATGTTTTTTGTTTTCTGTTTTACAGGATATATTGATTATTTATGAGAAATTGACCAAATCAGATATCGATCGATGAAAACACATACAATTTTAAGTGGATTTTCATGTGCAAAAGGGGTTTTTTACTTGAACATAAACCAGAAGAAGTAGTTGCAATAATTCAAGCTGTCATCTAGGTATTATTGTAATTCATTTATTTATAAATGCATTTAGGGGCGATATTCTTATTTTACATGTTCTTACTTGCTGACAGACTTTACTCGAGGCGAAAAGGCCACATAAAATGGTGGAACTTGAAAAGATGGTTAGTGAATAGCCTTTGTAGGTCGTAAAGAGTCGGAAAGAAACATGAGGAGAAAATGATTATTTAATGTGTTATTATTGAACTTGATATCATAAGCATTCGTAATTAGTTATATAATGTTTGGCAATGTAGAAGAAAGTAAAGTTGAAGTTTTAGTCACTTTCATCATAATCTTTTTCAGTCATAGAATCACTAATCTTGGATAACTTAGGCAGTGTATTAATAACTAAACAAGTGATTAATTATATGATTAAATAAATTACTTTTTTGCTTTCAGATATATGTTCCAACAGATCCTCAAGGAAGAATGAATATGTAAGTAAACACAAATCGTTTAATCGTCTTTCACACTTTCTCTTACTGTTTTCCATAGAGTTTGACAATTTTTTCGTTTTTCTATCCTACAGATTGTCAAACTATTCACCCCACATTCTGTATTTGGTTCCCTAACTCCCCACGTTGCAAGGTTCTTGAGTTGTTCTCATTCTGTTCTTCAGGTATGATATAAAATTTATTACTTTGCATATAGATTTTGCTTTTTTAAAATCTAAAATTAATTACTATTTTCATCAACTCCACCAAAGGATTCCATTTGAAAATGTTGAAATTAATTTTGATTTCTTTTACTCTTTTTTTTTTAAAAACGATTGGGTATTTTAGTAATCTCCTCTTTTAAGTACAGAAGTTACATTGTCAAATTATATGATTGAACGAAAGCACCGTGATGACAACTACAAAATGTGATAGCTTCAGCATGAAACTACCTCCACTTTACAGTTTTTTTTTTCATTTTATTATTATTTTTTTTAATATTTTTTCCCGATAAACTAGCAATGTACTTTCGGTTGCATGTTGTCACTTGAGGGATAAATTAGTCAAGTCCTAGAAAACAAGACATGGGTATGTAAGCAAATAAGCAAAAAATCTATTTGTATATGTTTTTTGTTTTCTGTTTTACAGGATATATTGATTATTTATGAGAAATTGACCAAATCAGATATCGATCGACGAAAACACATACAATTTTAAGTGGATTTTCATGTGCAAAAGGGGTTTTTTACTTGAACATAAACCAGAAGAAGTAGTTGCAATAATTCAAGCTGTCATCTAGGTATTATTGTAATTCATTTATTTATAAATGCATTTAGGGGCGATATTCTTATTTTACATGTTCTTACTTGCTGACAGACTTTACTCGAGGCGAAAAGGCCACATAAAATGGTGGAACTTGAAAAGATGGTTAGTGAATAGCCTTTGTAGGTCGTAAAGAGTCGGAAAGAAACATGAGGAGAAAATGATTATTTAATGTGTTATTATTGAACTTGATATCATAAGCATTCGTAATTAGTTATATAATGTTTGGCAATGTAGAAGAAAGTAAAGTTGAAGTTTTAGTCACTTTCATCATAATCTTTTTCAGTCATAGAATCACTAATCTTGGATAACTTAGGCAGTGTATTTTACTTTGACACAAAAGCAACACCTCCCCCCCCCCCCCCCCCCCCCCCCCCGCGCGGAACGCGAGGGGTAACTTTCTAGTTATTATTATTATTATTATTATTAAAAATACAAATAAATATACTATTTTTTAAATTTATTATTATTATTATTTTAATAATATATATAAATACATGTAAATGAAAAAAAATAAAGATATGTTTTAAGGGTGAAGCTGGAGGGGATTGTAATGCTTTAAGCATTGAAATCATGAATGTCTGTTTGTATATTTTCACTTTGTATATGACCATTTCACATTTGTTATTATTTTTTTGCAATTTAGAATATTAACACTGAACAATTCAAAAGAAGTTGTCTATTTGTAAAATTGTTTATAAATAGTTTAAGGTAGAAGGATTTTTCACTTTGTATATAAAATTGTTTAAGGTAGAAGAATTTCTTTTTAAATCCAACAGATCTACTACAAACATCTACATAGGTAGCCTATATCAAATTTCAAAAGTATTAATTAAAATATGTTGTTTAATAAAAAATAATATGACATGTTTTACACTATCACACTATATATGTTATGTTTCAAAAAACCACATGAATAAAGTAATGAAAAAGAGCAACACACATGTTAGTAATTCAAATACTTACACACAAGACATACACGCATAGCACACACTCACACCTTATACATGTGTTAGTAGACCCACTCATAATCTTGACTTGATCCTAGTTGCGGACCTAAACTCGATTCAAGAAAATATATTAAGACATGTTTGCTTACAAGTTGAGAACGATAATAAAAAAATGAAATTTTAATGATAATATTGATAGTCCGTGACATAAAATCACAATTTATAAACAATTTGAAAAATAGACCACTTATTTTAAATTGATAAGTGTTGATATTCTGAATAGAAAACAATAATAACAAATGCAAATGACCGTATATAAAGTGAAAATATACAAATAGACATTCATGATTTCAATGCTTAAAGCATTACCATCCACTCCACCTCCACGAGTAACATTCCAAAAATATAGTCCAAAAATTTTGTTTATAAATCATTAATAAAACCATAAATCATCCATCATCATAAAGAAAATCAAGAACCATATATCTCAAAACATTATGTCAAATATTGTATCAAAATCAAATAAGAAAACATCAGAGTCTAAGAAAATCCCAGGCTAAAACTGCGGTGTGTTCTATACGATCATCTCGAGCCCTTACCCTTGCTAGTGGAAGTACTTGAAACCAAAAATGAAAACTGTAAGCATGAAGCTTAGTGAGCTCCCCCAGACTACCACATACCATACAATAATACATAATAACACATACTAGGCCTCGCCCACTGCATCGGGTCCTGCCTGGCATCAGACTAATCCGGCATCGGGCCTCGCCCGACATCGAACTAAATTCTGGAATACATATTGTAGCAACAAGAACATATCACATAAGCATATAAAAAATAAACATAATAGACTTCCTCGGGCTTGCCCCAGCATCAGACTGAAGTCCGATACATATAACATATAAGCTAATTCTACATCGGGCTTACCCCGACATCGGTCTTGCCCCGTAATACATAACACATAACATGCATGAATGCAAAGACATCAAGCATACATATACTCTTCTCGGGACCGCCCCGGCATCGGACCGAAGTCCGGAGCATATAAGCTGCATTGGGCTAACCCCGACATATACTAACATACATAATGGGCCGACATTGGTGCCTTCGACCCGTTCATACTGAAAGGAAACTCACCTCATAAGGCTGACTGTTGAAACTCAAGTGAAGAATCTCTGACTACTGCTCTGGCGACTCCCTGACTATCAACTACATAAAACACTTAATCAAAATATGATAATCCTTGACTATTTCACCCTTGGTCAAGGTCAACATCCCGGTCAAAATCAAAGTCAAGGTCAAAGTCAAAGTCAAAGTCAACTCTCAGTCAACCCCAACTCGGCGAGTTCATGCACTACTCAGCCTCGTAGTCAACTCGTTGAGTCCCTTCCCAATCTCTTCGAGTTCTTCCTGTCATAACATCGGGACATATCATCCCTAACTCATCGAGTCCCTCCTTGGACTCGTTGACTTCTTCAGTTTCCGAGACTAAATCTTGTCCAACTCACTGAGTCACCTCCTAAACTCATTGGTTTCACTCACAACCAGAAAAGGGATTAGGGTTCACGACCCGACTCGCCGAGTCCAAGAACAACTCGGTGTGTCCTCTATGCAACATATCTATTCAGTCAATTCTAATCCATTCCAATGCTTCTAATTCTTAAATCTGGACTCCTTAGACTAGCATAACACATAAAGTTGCTAACTTTACGTGCACGCATGATGATATAAGACCAAAACACTCATTACAAGCTAAAATGGAGCTCTAAGTCATGACATGTGGCTATGGTTGAATAAAAGTGACGACTTTGAGCTTCTAAAGCTCAGTAATGCCCATATATGAAGTATTTTCATCCCCCAAGGTCCAAATCTCGGAATGACCTTGGAAATGACCCAAAAAGTGACAATAAACATGCATACATGAAGATCTAAGTGGATAGAAGCCAAGGTATAAGCTTTATACCTTTAACAAGTCTGAAATGCTACAAAAACTCTAGATCTCCTACTTTCTTCTTGTGTATTCGCTCTTTTCCTTCCTTCTCCTGGCTTCAAACCACACAAATGCAAAGAAATGGCTCAAGAATGCACATTATCGATTAGGGTTTCGAGAGTGGGGTTGGGAGGTGATAAAGACTGGAGTGGAGGTTGAATATGATGCTTAAATATGGTGTAAATCCTAAAGATTAGGGTTTCCTCCTGACGAACCTACTCGTCGAGTCCAGGCTTGGACTCGCCGAGTAGATCACTTAAACGCGCCCAAGCTGGCCTCTACTCGCCGAGTTAGGGCTACTACTCGTCGAGTAGCTTTACTAAATGAAAACTTAACAATTTAAAAATGTACCGGGAACGGGGCGTTACACCACCCTTAAAAAATGTCTTTAATATTCTTTTTTCATCTAAATGTATGTATATGTATTATTAACATTATTAGTAATTACAAATTAAAAAAAGTATACTTATTTATATAATAATAATAATAATAATAATAATAATAATAATAATAATAATAAGAAGAAGAAGAAGAAGGTTTTGTTTTGCAGAAAAGTCATAATATTTTTGTTTGTAGAAAAATTCCAATATTTTGGATCAGTTTACGAAATAGTTCTAAATTAATTTGTTACCGGTTCCAACAGATTAAAAAGGGTCAAAAAGCAAAATTTGCCAGTTTTTAAAACTTTTTCGTAAACAAAAATTAATTTAGAACTAAAATGTAAACTAGACCAAAATTTTAGAACTATATTAGAGAAACCCAAATATATGTGTGTGACAAATGTGAGAAACTCAAATATGTTGAATATCTTCATCTTGTTCATCATCTAACAAACCCATAAATTATGTTCATCTTCATATGTCAATCATCTAAAAAAACCCTAAATCAAAATCAAAATCATAATTGGAAATTTGAACGCTAAATCTAAATGGGTTTCTTGAATTCGTTTATAAGGGATGTTTTGGAAATTGATTTATATGTGAGAAATCAAAAACCAATTAGAACCTCTTTATATATCCGCGATATATAGGTAATAATCGTGTAAATCAATTTGTGTGAAAAATCTAAAACTAGATGTGTTACAGATTTGTTGTATTCGTTATAGATTTCTTGTATGTATTCTAAAACACGTTTGATTTGGTAATGTTCAAGAAATATTCAATATTTGCCAAGAATTAATGGAGATATTTATGTTTGATCAAAAACTCATCTGATAAAATTATCGGAAAGATGTTGGCGAAGACAATCACTAGATACCTTAAATGACATGTTATAATGATATTTTTTTTAAAGAAAAGCAAGTTAAATAGTAAATAACATGTAAAAATAAATAAAAACTAAAATCGATTACCCTCAAAAATTATTTTCCCATTATAAAATCATAACTTAGCTTTTTGACATAAAATGTTTGAAGAGTATTAAAAGTTACTAAACTAATGTAAAAAACATTTATTCACACTTTTGTACTTCCAATACATTAAAAAAATAAAGTAAAATAAGCTTAAAAAACACTCCTCTCTCTTTCTTCTCTCTCTCCAACACAACCCTACAAATCTCTCTCTATACTAAACACTAAATGAAAAACACCAAAACAAGGCTACAACTTTCTAACAAATGCTGACTGATTCCCTTTATTTTAAGTTAATTTGAGAGGCCACCATTACCATTACTATCATCATCATCTTCTTCTTCCATATGCACACTCACCAATCTATCTCTTTCGCATAATGGTTTAGGTTTGTTTTTGACGCACTCTTTTTGGGTTCATCTAGAACACAACACTCTTCTGCTTGTCTTCAAGCTCTCTCCTATGGGCCCTCTTCTCCACTCAAGACTTTAATGGTGAGAAAACAGTAAAAAGGAGTCTCCATTTTGCTTTTCTTTTTTCCACCATTTCTTGCTGTCTTGCATTTTGGGGGTTTTAGGTCAAAATTATCGTTCTTTGAGTTTCTTCAAAGTTTTCTTAGGTTTTGCTTCATGGGGTTTCGATTTTTTCTCTCTACAATTTCTGGGTTTTCGATTTTGTATGTGGAGATCTGAGTTTGAGTTGATGCTTTTTTATCAACTTTGTTGACTGTTTTTAAAAGTTTATGCCTTTTGAATGTATTGCTCTTTTCTTTAACTTCAATCGGGTTTCAAATTCAAATTCTGGGTCTTGAATCATAATCTTGATTTGAATCTTTAAGTTGAAGAAACCCTAATCTCAACAGGGTCCAATCTATGTTATCGACGCAAAGATTTAGGTAAATGATCTCGAAATTAACTAAAATCTTCAAAAACTGAATCTTGAATCTGGGTTAATCTGAAAATGTGGTAGGATCGATACTTTCTTTTGAAGCTTACCATTGGAGACGATGATGAATCATGAAATCTTGATATAGTCACCGGAATTTCAAGAATGGAAAGAGGGATTCAGCCTCCTTTGGTAAATTCTTCATCTTTTTCCATAATCTTCCATTATTTACAGATTAACAAAACAATTTTTTGATCTTTTTCTATAATCTTTCATTAATTAAAGATTAAAAAAAATCAATGTAGAATGCTCAACATGTTTTTTACAGGTGGATACAACAGCTTGTTTATGTAGAGTAGACGTCGGCCTGAAAACCGTCGCCGGAGCAAAAAGATTCGTCCCCGGTTCAAAGCTATGTCTACAGCCAGACATCAAATCATCAATCCACCCAACCAGACAAAAACCACCACGCGACAGAACCCGCAACCAATCCCCACTCCTGCCCGGACTGCCCGACGACCTCGCCATCGCCTGTTTAATCCGCGTCCCAAGAATCGACCACCGCAAGCTCCGCCTAGTCTGCAAAAGATGGTACCGTCTTCTCGCCGGAAACTTCTTCTACTCCCTCCGGAAAAACCTCGAAATCGCCGAAGAATGGGTTTACGTTATGAAAAGAGACAAAGATCGGAAGATGACATGGCATGGATTCGACCCCATGAACCACCTCTGGCAACCGCTGCCACCTGTCCCCAAAGAATACTCCGAAGCCGAAGGTTTTGGTTGCGGCGTTTTGAGCGGCTGCCACCTTTATTTATTCGGCGGAAAAGATCCGATCAAAGGGTCGATGAGACGAGTGGTTTATTACAGTGCCCGGACTAATAAATGGCATCGAGCTCCAGATATGCTCCGGCGTCGACATTTTTTCGGATCGTGTGTAATCAACAACTGTTTATACGTCGCCGGCGGCGAAAACGAAGGTGTCCACCGGTCGTTAAGGTCAGTTGAGGTTTATGATCCGAGCAAGAACCGGTGGTGTTTTGTTGCGGACATGAGCACCGCGATGGTTCCTTTCATCGGGGTGGTGTACGGCGGGAGGTGGTTCTTGAAGGGGCTTGGGTCACACCAACGGGTGGTATCGGAGATGTATGAACCGGAAACTAACGTGTGGAGACATGTTCACGATGGAATGGTGGCGGGGTGGCGGAACCCTAGCACTTGTTTGAAGGGGAAGCTTTATGCGTTGGGGTGTAAAGATGGGTGTAAAGTTAGGGTTTATGATGATGAAACAGATTCATGGAGTAAACATATCGATAGCAAGATGCATATGGGGAATTCCAAGGGTTTAGAGGCGGCGGCATTGGTGCCACTTAATGGGAAACTTTGTATTATAAGGAATAATATGAGTATATCTTTGGTGGATGTTGATGGTGGAGGTGGAGGTGGAGGAGGGGCGGCGGAGGCTGAGCATTTGTGGGAGACACTCGCCGGAAGAGGGCAGTTTAAGACTTTGGTGTCGAATCTGTGGTCTAGTCTTGCCGGAAGGAACCGCCTTAAGAGTCATATTGTTCATTGTCAGGTTCTTCAAGCGTGAGGTTTGAAGGTCAGCAATGGCGGATATATGATGGTTTTTTAGGTTGTTTTAGATGTTTTTTTTTGGGGTGCAAGAACTTATATATATTATACACACTTGAATGTTTTTAGTTTTTTTAACCGAAATTTTGGAGTATATTCCCTCTTTTGCCATCAAGATTGTCTATTGAGACCTTGTTTCCTTCACATGAAAACTTAGAACAATGTTATTCAATATTTGACTTACATTGGATACACAAGACTCAAGAATAACATTGTTGATACTCTATTTAACAATGTTTTAATGTATTTGATATGCATTGGATTTGGTATGGAATAAAATTGTAACTTTGGGAAAAAGAGGGAAACATCCTTGTCATGTGTAACTAAATCTACTAATCTACTAGGTTACAATTATCAAACTAAATATAAATATACATAATGGTTGTACTCCATGCAATAAAAGTTGTATATCAGAAACTATTTGGAAAAGCTTCATTTAGGTTGTTCAACTATAAAATAATAAAATATGCAATTAAGTTTATTTACACTACATTAGGTAGATAATAAAATGACTTTTAATACATTAATTAGTTAGGTTGCGAGGCAATTTAAAAATTGGGTAGTTGATGTTAGATTTGCATCTAATGAGAGGTGAGATATAAAGAGAGATGAGTCCATAAGGATCTTGGAAAACTGATAGCCTAACACTCTAACTTAAAAGAAAATTTATTAGATCCTAATTTCGTTGCTGTTTTTAATTAAGATGTGTTGGATATATGGGAATATTATTTTAGTCTTATATCACGTTTGAATATTTTTCGAATTTTTCATGCTATTATTTGTTATGAAATTATCAAATTAAGGTAGTTTATTAGTTCAAACAGTTTTATCAAATGCAAACCAAAATGCTTCATTTAGATTATGGGGATGTTAACGACTTTACGAAAAAATTTAGTAGCTTTTAGCTTCAAAAAAAAAAAAAAAAGAGAATTAAAGAAAAAACTGTGTTTGAAAGTAAAATAAATATTTTGAAAAATAAAACTATAATAAATTACAAATGTCCACTTGCTTTCTCTGTTCTTCTAAAACAATCAATTGTCCTCACTCCTTCCTCTTAACTCATCCAAGTAACACAAATTACAACATCAAAAAAAAAAAAAAAAAAAAAAAAAAAAAAAAAAAAAAAACTCTGAAATTTACCTAGTCTTGGATTCAGAAAGGTAAGATCTACCCAGAGAAAAGCACGTGTCTTTCTGCTTCTTATATTCATTATATCTCAGGAAGAAATAACCAAGATAATCGAAATCAATTGGCGACATTTTTGCCTGTTTTTCAATAAATCAACCCATCAAAAAAATGAATTCCCACATTCTTTCTTTCAAAAAAAAAAAAAAAAAAAACTGTCTGTGTGTACCTGGATGAGAGCCCATAGAGCCCAGTACAAATGTGAAGCCAACATGTAACAGCTCGTTTCAACATAAAGCGCCTCCAAATCCTTCTCTGACACCTGTATACGGTGACAGTGACAATGACAGATGAGCCGGACCCTAGAAAGTTTGTCCGGTCCAGTCTTTTTACAAGATATAGTTGTGCATGGTTACCTTATCAGGTCTTTCGGATTGCAAGTAATGCCTAAAGAAATGATATTGTTCATCCTTATTCGGGTACCTATATCATCATCATCATCATCATAACACATGTTAAATAAATTCATAAATTTAAAGCTTTTGTAAAAACAAGATAAGCTTACAAAGTGTAGTCACAATCATAGCCTGCATATTCATTGAAGTGGTTCCCAATGTCAAACCCTCTGTAACTATACGATCCATATTCAAAATCTATGATGTACAACTTCTCTGCTCCAAAAAAAAAATTAGATATATATAAATAAGGGCATTCATGTCTTTTTCACAAACGAGACATCGAGAGCGAGTCCTTGTCCATCTTGTCCCACCTTTTTGTGTGCGACAAAAATAATTTAATTTTTATTTCTCAACTGACATCAGTCTGAGTCTCAATCCAGTACATGTCAAACACAGTACAACCTGTCTGTGTTGCCTTGTCCTGTGTAACAAACGGGGCCTTCGGCCCGTTTCTTACATAACACAAGACAGCTTTGTACTGTGTTTGTCATGCATTGGATTGAGATTGAGACTGATGTCAGTAAGATAAAAATTGAATTATTTTTGTCGCACACAAAAAGGTGGGACAAGATGGACAAGGGCTCGCTCTCGATGTCCCGTTTGTGAAAAAGACGTGAATGCCCTCATCATTAAGTTTGTGTAGTTGAGTTTATGTTGTGATTTAAATTAATAAGTTTAGAAATAAAAAAGATTTGGGTAGAAAGATGGATACCTTCGTCTTCATTCAGCATCAGATTTCCAGAAAGCAAGTCATTATGGGAAAACACAACAGGAGCATTAAGAAGACCTGTCAATTCCTGTCTCATAAATAAACTATGTTTCTTTCAAGTTTTCAAGAAGCTTAATTAACTACCCTATTTTATTATAAATAAATAAATAAATAAATTACCTTGAGTTTAATAATTTCTGTATGGACTTCCTTAAATGAAATCGTACTGTATCTCTTTTGCTTCTCATCATCATCAAAAGTAAGACTGGATGCTGCCATCAACAGAACTTAAACTTTCAGCTGTTTCTTTTTTTTTTTTTTTAATAAATAAAAAAAAAGTTAAAATTTAAAAATCACCTCTTTCAAAAAACTTTGAGATGTCAATCCACAGCTGAGGTTCCTTGGATCCTGGAATGTCTACTTGATGAAACCTACTAAGTTGCTTTGCAATTTCAGCTGCTAATTTTGGCTTTCTCAAGTCTGTAGAACATATAATATTAACTTATTAAATATCAACAATCACATTGAATATCAAATCTAGCAATGTTTCATTTTTTTTTATTATCAAATTTGTTACTTACCTAATGGTTCTAATGTTCGTGCATGTATAAAAGATTGCATCATTCCATTCCCAAATACCCCTAGCAATTTGGCACCAAATCCTGCAGCTGAGAGATAATGAATTGCCTATACAAAAGGATAACAAAATACAAAGTGAAAACAAGCATATCATCAGCTATAAGCAATAATATAACAAATATTCACAAGCAAAAAGATTGTGTAACTAATATGTATTATCTTTCTTTCTAACCTTAAGTTCTCTTTCCCTATCAATGACATACTCTGTGTTTGGACCATAGAGTCTAACTGTCACATGCACAATATTCCCATCTTGTTCTTCTACTGATACTTTGAGCACTACAATAGTAAATTCCAGAGGCTATGATATAAAAAGAATACAAAAACTGATGTGTCTTTATCTTTTAGTCTTTGAGGTGTAACAAAAAAATGTATTTTTTTGATTGGTTTAAGTCTAGTTGATGTAAAATCAATAACTAAAACAAATAAATAAAGATACCTACAGAGATTTGTGATGCCACCAGCTACTCTTTGGGCAGAGAAATGTGATTCATCCAAATTTGACCATTTTTTGACCAGGTCCTTACAAAGGTTTCTGTCATCATCAAATCATGAAACACATGGAAGTTGATCAACATGATTTCAAGAAATCATATTAAGAAGTAGAAACAACAGCTTTTTGTTTTCATGAAAGCAAGAGAACCAAACAATAAAAAGAGTTGTATGTAGGGTTTGAGATCAAATGATGTACTTGTCACTGTTAATTCAATATGTTTTGATACAAATTGTGGGAGTAACTTAAGCAATCAGTAGAAGTAGTTACACAGAGGCCATAGATTGGTAAGAATAATCCATACCAATTACACAATTTGCAAGCAATGGTTAGACATTAAAGTGTCAATTTAGTCGACCTAAGGAGGCATGGGATGAATCGATATAATTTTGTTTCCATTGATTCATTTCAACATTGAAAAGTGAGAAAATTTTGCCAACTAAATCGACAAACGATTACTGTAAGTATGATATAACAGATTTAGTAACGAGCATCAGATCCAGTATACTCATTGTAGTAATAAAACCATTTTATCTAGTTCCTGCGAATTTGAAACGTAGGTTTTCAATTAACGCAAGCCGGAGAAATCATTCGGTGATACAAGTAAATTAAATCACTCTGATTGATAAACTGAATCCATCTTACGAATCCAAAAAAAAAGGAAGAAGATTTGACGATTTAATTCATCCGTTTCATGAGCAAACTAATCTCAAATCATGTCAAATAGATCAACCAAAAGAACAGGGAGATTTGAAAGAGCGAAAAGAGCATACACGAGACTAGGTTTCATCTCCGGAACAGGAAGGGTGTGGTCAACGGTAAGAGAAGAATATGGAATCTGTAAGTTGCTGTTATTCCGAGCTTCACCGGAGACATCCATGGCGTTCCACACGTTCACTGCGAATCTTCTTCGATTTTGTATGTGAAGTTGTGAACTAATTTAAATGGAAACGCTAAGTAGATATTAAAATAAGTAAAAAAAAACAATAAAAATTAGGAGCTGTTATACGCATGTTCCATGATCTTAGCAGCGGTTAAATATTTATCTCAAAAATAGCGAAGGGGTGATCACCTAAATAACAAAATTAAGTTGTCTAATCTTTCTTATCTGCATTAAAACTAGGTGAATTCACGCACACAACATAGAAACTAATTATGAGTGTATTGTCAAAATTAATTGGAAGCTGGTAATGAGTAGCAGATGTTGGTGATTGTTATCACCAATATTATTGAAGTGTAATGAGATTATTTTGTTAACAAAAAGTGATCTAGATAAATATTAAACAAGTAAGGAAGGTGTGAATTATACACTTGTTTAAGTTTGATCAAGTTTCAAAGTACCCGGTCATTTAGAGGCAAAGTCCCTAAACGAATGAGTGTTTGGGGGGCAGCACCCCCCTGAGAGCGGGGTCCAAGGGGAGGCAACCACTGGCGGGGTCTAAGGGGTAGAGCCCCTGACTAGGGTCGAGCTGCCAGGTTAGCTCGGAATTTTTTTTTATATAGGATGTGTTACTATATTAAAATGCATCACAAAATCGGATTTTCAGAGAATTGACCATTGCGTGACCCTTATCCAAACTTTCGTTTTTATGTAGGTTTTTATAGTTTTATGACAGTTTTCAGACAAAGATCATAAAGTCGGTTTTGGTCTCATTTCTGGTACATACAAAACTATCATCAAAACATTCTAAGTTCTCTTGTCTGTCTGAGTTTTATCCGATTAAAGAATATTGGAAGTACCACTTAAATGCTTTAATCTGAAAGTATTTAACACAATTCTTAGAATTTTAAGCCTTTTTTATACCCCAATTTATAATAGCGGGTAGCTGAAAGCTGTATTTTTTATTTGTTATAAGAATGTTTGGCAGAAGTAGCTGGAAGCTTTTGAAATGTTTAAAATTACATAAAAGGGCACTTGTTTAATTGCAAATTGTGAAACATAATAAACAAATAAAAGATTATCGAACTAGAATTCTTAAAATTTAGCAACTTTACATAACTATGTTCCATTACAATAATCAAAAGTTATATTGCAACGTAAAAACTATTCATAAAATCATCGACGTCGAGCAATATCATTGTGTATGCGCTTCATATTATTAGATCCTTCGTATAAGTCTTCATAACTTGTGTCATTACCGCGAACATCACGAGGTTCATCATTTGATATGCAATTCGGATATAGTTCAACGATATCAAAAATTTTGCCTGCTCAACATTACGACGATTCTAGTTATCCAAGGCAAATGTAGCCATAATAACGCCAATTTGCGTTTGCACTATAAATTTGGCATTCTATGGAGTATTTTCCATTGACTATTCAAGATTCCAAATGATCTTTTAATATAACTTCGCAGTGATGAATGTAAATGGTTGAAAGTTTCTTGCATATTATTTGGAGGCTCATTTTCAAGTTGAGATAGATGGTATCTTGTTTTGGAATATGGAACCATATACCTATTTCTATATGGATACCATTTATCTACCAAATAATATTTACCTATTATATTGGTGGAGAACAAAAAAATTGAAATGTTACTTATATCATATTAGGAAAATAATAAAGATAATGATAATTTACCTTCAGGTGGTTTTGGGAAGTTCATTGATGGCGTGTTAATCGCATTTAAGGAAAACATGTGTGTCATGTGCACAACCCTCACATCCAACAGATGCAAAGGTAAAACACATATCCAAATCACAACTTACCATTACATTAAATGTCGGTATCCCTTTTCTACCAATATAACGTAATTGTTGAGTTTCAGGGATATATGCGGCTATAGCCTATATGTGTACCATCAATACTGCAATCCTAAAATCATTTTTTTAAATGTAATAATAATGATAAGTAATAAGAATGGCATATGGTATTAAAAAATTAAAACGAACATACAAATAGAATACCTTAAAATATGGCATGTATCTTTTATCATTCTTGATTTGCAATGGTATTAATAGAAAGGTTGGATCTTTTGGCCGTATAATGTCATGTGCTAGACCGTTGAAACTTTTTCCTCGGGCAGTTATTGCCTCTAAAACATCATGAAATGCACTACTAACAATATATCCTGATCGTTGAAATCGCTCCCCAACATCTCTATTAGACAAACCTAACGTGAGTGTGTATACGAATATTCCCAACTTTTCAACGGTTGACACGTTATCACTTGACTTTAATCCATATTTTAGCTCAAGTTCTTTACAAAGCTTCATGAACACACTTGGATGCATTCTAAATGCGTTAACACATCGAATAGGATTACCATTTAAAATTTATTTCATCCAAACCTCTCCTGTTTGAGTTGATGTCATACAAGGTACCTTATACATATACTTATAAAAGCGCATAGAAGCTATGGCAGTTGTAGAGCATGAATTCAATATTAATTGTAAACGATAAAGATTTTTTCTAAGCAAACTCAACACATATCTAAGCAAACAAAAAAAGTTAAGGTAGTTGTAGAGCATGAATTCAATATGACCGCTAGTAAGTTTTGGATAAAAAAACTCAAAACATATATAATAAACAAAAAAGTTAAGGTAAAATTCATGGTAAAAGTTATAGAAACATATAATGTTATCCAAATTTTCTATAGAATAACGGTACGTATTTTGCTTTATCGGTGGACAAAAGCTGCAGTCCTTCAAGTGGTTAAAATAAGAAAAAGTTGTCAATCAATTACATAGTCAGAGCCTAAAAGAATTTTTTTTCTTAAAAGATAAGCATGATCCTTATTCTATTTTAGAGAAGTACAAAGCATGTGACACTATAAACGAAAGTCTAAAAATTATAGGAAGGTGAGATCGATGTTTTTTGCTGCAATTCATGCTGTATGATGAAATCTTAATGAATACCCAAGTGGTAAAATAACACATACAGATGCATGGAGAAAAATCACAAAAACCAAACAACGTACATGCTTTTAATGGATATGAAAAAGTGTTAAAGGAAAAAAATACTTATCGATGCAAATAGGAACAAGAGGCGATAGATCTAGCAATGGCGGCAAGGGTTGGACGTTGTTAGTTGTTAGGTTTAAAGGTACGATCTCAATTATTAATTGTGGGCAAACCTGGAAATTGAATAAAAAACCAAATAGTTTTTTGTTCAATGCTTCTTCATATAACGTTTGATTTTAGAGCGTTTGGTTTAGGTTAAAAGCTAAACACTCCTCATACCAAACGAGGTTTTTTATTTAATACGATGCGTTTTATTAAACGCGAGAAGCTAGAAGCTCCCAAACGCTCCGTACCAAATATGCCCTATATAGAAAAAAATATTATGATTATATGTCATTTAAAATATGGCCAAAACATTTGATTCATAGTTGGTTGTAAGATTTGATAAAGAAAATTAATAGATACAACATTAGCCTATCTTAAGAGGATAAGGTCTAGGTGTAAGCTTGGTGTCCAATTTTTTTTCTCTAAATTAAGAGTAAATCACATTTAGCAAAAAAAAAAATTGCTATTTTTGGTACAGTGAGATTAAATCACATTTAGGAGAAGTGGTTGGTTTTCTGATGTTAATCTTTGCAATGACTATACGCTCGTATATTTTGCCTACATTGTATGTGTTTGGTGTTGTATTTGGGGTTATGATTCATTTATTGGGGTGGTAGACTTCATAGCGTTACTATATTTAGACAACACACTTTGATATATTTTGAATGAATCTTACAAAAGTAGTGTCTATGATTTATGATTTAGATATGACATAATATCCTACACTTTGATATATTTTGAATGAGTCTTACAAAAGTTGTGTCTATGATTTATGATTTGGATATAACATAATATCCTAAGATGTTTGTTGACTAATTTTATTTTGGATTGGCTGGTTGTGCAATTGTGATCAAACTTATTGCGATCAAACTTATTGCTTATCAAGTTTGTGGCTTGATTTTTTTTTTTTAGTTTTATAATTTGACTTGCTATATATAGTTAAAATACATTATCACCTTTATCTATATTGAGAAGGTGACTATTGTTTTTGTATTCTTACATATGAAAGAATTGTAAAATTGCGACAATTAGCACTTCGAGACCAACACCTTGCTATACAGTTATTGATTTTAGGGCAACTATACATTCATTAATTAATTAATTAATTTATTAAATAAACGGGGTGTTACAACTCTTGCACCAATTCAATTGAAAAACAACTTTGCTCTGATACCACTGATGGGTTATGAGCATTACAACAATCCTATGGTGTACATGCAACCCTAATTGCTTTTGATCTAAGTTTTTCTCTATTGAACATGCAAATATAAACACCAAAGCAATAAACATAGAACTAGTATATACAATTTCAAAATTCACATATATATTAGGTTTGATGACTACATCACTTGTTATATTGTAATAACAAGACAATCCTTGAAGTCCTTGACTCTTGAAAGCTTAGTGCCCTAAGTGTTGCACCTTTAATGGAATCACAAACACTCAATGCAAAGAATGAAGAATGAGAGAGGTGAAATCGGCTAGGGAAACTCTTAGAAGCTTAGGGACGAAATCCTTAGCCTTGGAGGGTTTATATAGTTGGGGCTATTAAGGTTTTAAGGTGGAAACCCTAAATTCCTTGCTTAGGCCTTAAGTAGTCCATGAATGTAATGACCCAATTTTCACTTCTAAAAATTTCATTTTTATAATTTACTTTAATTAAAACATTCGTAGGAAAACATTGTCAAATCATAACATCTCATAACACTTTATATAACGTCTGAAAATCCAATTCATAAAGTAGTGATAATATCATAGTACAATCCCAAGGAAAACTCATAATGCGGAATCTGAGGTGTGTGTATGATGTGCAACTACCGCGCCGACTCCTTCCCTTTCGTTGAAGAGGTACATGAAACAAACTGAAAACTATAAGCACGAAGCTTAGTGAGTTCCCCCACAATACCACATACCATACAATATATTGTCAGACAATTCTGGTGCGCCTGACTTACCCAGGTCAAACCATTATGGGGTGTTTGACGTACCCAGGTCAAGCCATTATGGGGTGC